GGCGGAGGCAGAAATGGGCAAGGGGCTGGGGGGGCATGCTTTAGGTGGGAACTGCGTGCTCCTGGGGAAAGGGGGGTAGAGGGTTGGTCCTATATTGGGGCCGAGGGAGAGTGAGTGACTCACCTCGGCGGAGGCAGTGTAGAGCTGAGGGGGGAGGGGTAGGGGGAGGGTGGGGCAATCTTTCTTGAATAAGTCTATCATGTAGATTAAGTTCACTATTTCTTTTCATTTGGTTTGCCGCTCGAGGAGGTTGTAGGAATAGGTGTTATCTGACAATCCATCTATGATCCTGCGAAGGGTGGTTGAAAATTCGGTGGCCCTCGAAGACCGATGCTGGAGCAACGCTGGCCGGAGCCGGAACCAGGTGGCGCAACTCTTTGACCTAGCTTAGTGGGGGCGTGAGGCCTGGTAGAGAGCTCTGGGGGGCTGTGTGCGGGGGCAGTCTCAGTGGTCATCGGGGGTCGTAACTGGAGCAACGCTGGCCGGTGCTGGAGCAAGGTGGTGCAACTCTGTAACCTAACCTGATGGGAGCATGAGGCCTGGAAGAGCTTCGGTTCGTGCTGAAAACAGTCATGCTGGTGGTGGTCATAGGTGGATTGAATAGGTTTCACCTATCTGATCTGTAGGTGGTTCTTATGAATGTCTTAGGACTCTAGGGTTTCTTAGCAACCCATCCTAGGCGGTTTTGAAGCGGTTATACTCAGTGATCTGCGGTTGTTCGATGCCAGAATGACGCTGGCCGGTGCAGGGGTGTTGCCCTGTAACCTGCTGATGCAGGAGCGTGAGGCCTAGTAGAGAGATCTGGGGATGCTTTGGAGTGGGCATCCCAAGGGACAGCCAAGGTTTGCTGCTGGGACGACGCTGGTCGGAGATGGGGCGAGTTGTGTTGCCCTGTAACCCAGCAGGGTGGGGGCGTGAGGCCTGGAAGAGCTCAGCAGGGAGTAAGACTGTGTTGGAAAGTCTTAGAAGGGCTTGTTAGGAATTCTGAGGGTTGTGAGCATTCGTAGGACCTCTATGGCAGCCTACTGCATGAGTAGTTCCTTAATAGGTTATATTCATAGAATGATCTCAGTCGAAGTCGGGTAATGGGCCCGGTATCTCAAATGATCTCAAATGTTCTCAAATGTTCTTAATGATCTGTACAATTCGATATGGGATGCTGGGCCAGGTTCCCAAGGAGACTTTTTCTCAAGGCCACGGATGATTTTTCAAAACAAAATGAGAATTGCTGGAGGGGATGGGTTCGAATCCTAGGGGAAGGGTTGATGAGGACAGATACTGAGAGGAACAAACGTTGCCGTTTTCGAGGGTTTTTCTGAAGGCTTGCAAAAACGGTCCTGGCTGAGCCAACTGTGGAAAAGGCCACGCGCGACACAACAGGCCTGTCTTTGAATGAATCTGGGTTTTCACCTACCGGACAAGATCAAGATGTACGATACTGAGATCTATTGGGACAATTGGATATTGACCACCACCATCTCCCCGTCAAGGATGCTGGCTGCGCTACGACCTGCGTTTCTGTCCCGCGACCCCCAGCGCTTACCGATCCTGCATATCGTTTTCAGATGGCTGCTTCTGCTTTCTTACCTGGCGCGCTCAACCCTGCATCTTTAGGAGTTGTCTCTTTCTCTTTGGATGACGGTACCCCTCTGACCTGTGTGAGTTTTCCACCGTGTCCTGCACTCCCATGCTCTTCTCTACGACCACGTTTATTTCTCTCCCTTTCGTCTGTGCATGTTTTCTTCCCCGTTCCCCCTCTTTTTTTCTCTCTCTCTCTCTCTCTCTCTCTCTCTCTCTCTCTCTCTCTCTCTCTCTCTCTCTCTCTCTCTCTCTCTCTCTCTCTCTGTGTTGTTTCTCTCTCTTTTTTTCTGTTCTCTGCTTTCTGTATCTGATGGGCCGGAAGGGTCAAAACTTCAATCTGATTTGCACAGACTTACTGAAGTGCCCTCCGAACCGTGCGAAATAGTTGCCCATTACACGGCTCACTAACTTTACTTGCTTTGAGTTCTCTTACCTATTTGGCGGGGTTTCACTGGATGAAGTGACCAGTTTCCCCCGTGGACTTCCAGGCAACCTCAGGACACGAAGTGGGCGAAGCCGAAGGCCTGACTTTAGTGAGTCCACGCAAGAAGAGACATTGGATCTCGTACTCGACTAATTATGTACTAGAAAAAAGAGCGCCCAGCCCGACTGAGAGGCACGGGAGTACGTGCGATCGATCTACTATTTAGGACTTGGGTGACTCACTTTCGAAGTAGCACATTTCTTTATTCCCCTAATGATGGCTGTGACGGCGCACAGCCGAAACATGTCGGGATAAACGCCGCTCCGCTTCTGTGTATAACTCTTTTTTATAAACGAAACATTTTTTGCGCTACTTCTGTGTCTACTCTCCTCTTGTCATGTTCCTACTTCTCTCTCACTCTCCATATCTCTCTTTCATACCCTCTCTATCTCTCTCTCTCTCTCCCTCTCTCTCTCTCTCCCTCCTCTCTCCCTCTATCTCTTCCCTCTCTCTCTCTCTCTCTCTCTCTCTCTCTCTCTCTCTCTCTCTCT